TTTCACTCCCTTGTTTCAAAACTTGCAATTCGGCATTAATCAAACCAGTCACATGGTCACCACTGGCAGACTCTCAGCTTTTCTAAGAATTAGCTTTCTTAAAGTCAAAATTATTGCACGTAGTTTTGAAAAGAGTAAATGAACAAGGCCCATGGGGGGCAATCATTAAGAATCTCCAAAGTGGAGTTCTGCTGTTGGTTCTGATTTTGCGTGTTCCTGCTCCCAAATAAAGGGAAAAAGGCTGTGGGTGGCGGTGTGGGAGGACACATTGTCGTCTATTAGTGGACGACAACCCTTTCAGTTGACAAAGACAACAACCAACTCTTTAGATGGTTTATTTGATCTGCGTGAAAGAGTGGCAGTAGGATTTCTGGCACTTGAATAAGCGGAAGCAATATTTTTGGCTGGAGAGACTTGTCTGAGCTCTCTGAGGGAGACTTCAAGAAAACCATCTGGACCGAGCAGTATTTCTTTTGTAAGGGCCTGCATTTGGCAACAAAAATGAAAGGTGCGCGTGCCGCGTCAGATACCTTCGAAAATAATTTGACTTCAGTATTTGGGAGGGGAGAGATCTATGATTGTTTGTAATTTTCTAGATGAAAAGATTCACATGAGGGAAAAAAACCTTATCCTTTCTATTTTCTTTCCTTATGAAGGGATGCGTTTCTAATTTATGATCCAAGACAGGATGTGCTTATTAATTTTAGCTCAGTAATTTGCACCATTGTGCTCTCATGAGTGAAATTCGAATGTTCCTGCTATGTGTGATATTTACAATTGTTATGTCAGGTAGTGACTTTGTTCCTGACCCTCGTAATTGTTAACTGAACCTAGATTTTAAAGACGAAACATTTCCCCTTCCTTGGTCTTTAGCCAGCTTGTGAAGCCATGATGAATGAAAAATATTGAAAAAGTCAAACAAAATCCTTTCAAGCCCAAACAAAGCACTTACAGCAATGATAGGAATAAAACAGGAGGCTTATTAGAAAACTAGAAAAAAGGCAAAGACCTGTTTGTGGCCAGATACTGCAGAAACAGGAATATACTAGCAGAACACCTTTAAACATCTATCACTTTTTTTTTTTTTTGCTATTCCTTTACATTTTTTGTGTAGAGTTCCCATTTAGAAGGAAATGCTTGATTCTAATAGTAAGGTTTACTATGACTAATAATCATTTTTAATTTTTTAAAAAAGCTGTCTACTTTAGCTGTCACTTTTGGCTAATAAATGATAAGAAAAAATATAATTCCTAATATAGATGTGAAAAATAAACATTATCAAATATACTTGAAAGTCCATATATATTGTATTAACATGTCTGCTACATGTACTCATTTCTACATAAATTATAGTTGCTGTTGATGTCAATATTGACTATTTGCTTGGGAAGATTTTAATTATCCAGTTTTCACACTATAAAGTCCTTGATTAAAAAAAGAACTGTTAAAATCATGTTTCTTAATTTGCCACCTTAAAAAAAAAAATCACATTTCTTTACAAAGTCAATACCAAATGCAGTTCTGAATGGGTTTTCAAATATTATTGGAATTACCATTATTATGAAAATATAACATCAAAAATGAAATGAATTTTTTAGAAATTCCTTTATAAATTTAAAACAAACCACATGGGAATGATTTATTCTGGCTTAAATATTTTACCAAATAGTTTGAAGCTAGAATAATTAATGACATGTGGGTTGTATCTCCAAACACATTTTCTGAAAGGATGAGAGAAAGAATCAGTTTATTAATATTGTGGTTGGATACTTTACAACTATGTCAGTTAAATTAAAAATATTTTACTTTCTGGGAATTAAAATCACAGAGATTACTATGTAGAGTGTTTACATTTCTCTGAGAGATTTTAATAGAAGGAAACCTGAAGTCCCTAATATCAGTCCGTTGCCTGTGTTCTTAGCACAGGGGACCATTGTGCCAGGCAGAATTCTTTAGCCTGAAAATCTCTGAGCTGAAACAGTACCACTATAAACACTAGCGCCTGCCAAACAGTGCGGGATTTTATGGGTTCATTACCACGATTATTTTAATATAAAGTGTTTTTTCTTTGTCTGACATTATATTGAGTCTATCAAACTTTATTTTCACAGAACTTCTAATTGAAATAAGATAGAATTTTGTGATATCAAAGACTGAACCCCAAGAATTTATCTGCTCATGATCTAAGTATTCCCATGATTTCTGTTCTTTGGAGAGGGAGGGTGGGAAGAAAATACATGACTTAATTTTCAACAACAACAGCAACAGCAACAATAAAAAAACTAGAACTACTACAGAAACACGAGTGGCCAGCATTAACCATGCACTTTGCTGTGCCTTTGGTCTCAGGGTAGAATTTAAGACAGAAGCAGGAAGGAGTAGAGAAAAGCAACAATAGATACTCTTGCCTTCTGGGGTCTTTTCTACACACAAGCCTAACTTGGATAGCCTTTTCACGGTGACAGTAGGCTCTGAGAAACCACAGAGTGCCTCACGGAACCCCAGCCACCATCTCCCACATTTGAGAGTCACCTGTGCTTTGGGCAAAGTATTGGAGGGCTTGTGTTTTCATCAGCGTGTCACATTTCAAATAAAACAGATCAGATGTTTGTCAGAGGTGATCACTTTCTACAATTGCACAACCTATTTATCAAAATCTTTGCAAATAGAACCCACACTATTTAAAACCCCAAGAACCCCATATGACCTAGAGTCACCTACCTGCAGGCCCAATTTCTGTGACCAGCCAGTTTATAGGCAAAGTGAAAGAAACATGCTAACTGGATAAAATAACCAGATGCCCCTACTGGAAGCCTTATTACTTGGATCATTTAAACCTTGCTAGACAAAGCACCAGGAGAGTTTGCTGTAGGAGACAAACTTCCAAGAATGGGGCAGGGAGGAAATGACCCAACAGTCCATCCTCTGCTCCATTTTCTACGGTTGTGTGTTAAGAAAAGCTGTCCTGCCGCACTATTGTGAAGGCTTATGCCCCACCAAGAGGACAGCTCTTATTTAAAACACACATAAAAAACCCCAAATAGCTCAGATCCTAACATTTAAGTTGCCCTCATCAACAGGCATAGGCAACTTTGGGGCAATTTTCCCTTCAAAGAATATTTTCCAGGGTTGGGGAGATAGCTCAATCCCCAGTTCTGAAAAAAAAAAAAAAAAGAATATTTTCCAGGTACAATGGGAATCGGTTGTTTTCCTCATTCATGAACTTAAGTGCCAGGAAAAGTGCATTTCTGGTTGGAGTTTTTTTTTAAGCTGGTTGCTGAAATGTGGGGTGACTCTCCCGTACCCTCATTTCTTACAATAACAGGTGAAGCCTCTGATGCCACCCCATGGCAGACCCCGTGGGGATGGCTCATTGGGGCGATGCGAGCCCACCCTGGAACTCTGTTGTCTGTCATCTAAATGGAGCACAGGCTGCCTCAGTTTCCTGTCTCAGCAGAAAGTGTTTAATGCGTGGGGACTCAGCTGCTGTAGGCACGCAAGGCATTTCGTGTGTGTATCTGTAAGGCAGGTGTGGGAGAGAGCCGAAGGAGGGGAGTTTGCATGTAGGAAGGAGTGTCCATGCTCCTCTTGCTAGACAAATATCCATGTTTATTCATGCAAGATTTTGATTTTTGGGTTAAGATGTAGAAATGGACACAAAAATACACTGTCAACCTGAAAATATTTTTCTATAAAATGCGTTATTTCTCTGATGGCCACTATTGATGTGAAGTGAAATATGCTATTTATCATGAAGTTGGTACATGTCCAAGTTGGATGTTTCCAATGTAACAAATTCTGCTTTGGAATATTAGGTGTGAGTTTGTGCAAAGATGAGCCCGTGTGTGTGTGTGTGTGTGTGTGTGTGTGTGTGTGTGTGTGAACATGCACACATGGTCGTGGTTGAAGGCAGATGTCCACAGGGAATGACCCACTTAGTAATGCTACCTACTTCTGTAAATTCTAGGATTTTCAGGTATTCTTGCTGCCAGAGAAAGCGCAGGCGACACCTCTCACATGAATCTCACATGAGTGTCACAGGTTCATCACTGAAAACCAGTTGTTTTCTTTTCATCTTTTTGTGTGTATGTTTGTGGGAGGGGAGAGCAAAGGAGGCTGATTAACATTTACAGCCTTAATAATTTTTCCATATTCTTTCTTCCCAAAGTAATTTGCATTGAAAGCCTGGAAAGTTCATTCCTTATGGAAGTCACAGGCTGAGTTTAGAGATTACCTCTAGGATAGATTTATACATGTAACTTTCCTGCCCTCGTACAAAGAGGCAAGCGGTATTATTGCAAATAACCTTTAAGATAATTAACTGACAATGCTGCAACTAGCATAAAATCTTCCTTCAGGCGACACCTAATTTAAGTGTTACTGGCACAAAGTGGAGACAGATTGTGCATTACCACTGCAATATTTACATAGCAGAAACCCACAGAGCAGGAAACGGGGCTCAATGACGCACTAAATTAGGAACAACCGTACTCCAGTGTTAATTTGCTTTCCATTCGATCCAAATCGCAGGTCCAGAAATTGGTACAAACACACATACAACCTCCCACTCTTAAATGACTAAACCAGAGGAGATTTTGGTCCTCCCTCCCCCCCAAATTAAAATAACTTGAAATTTATTTCTTTTCTCCGCAAGAACCATTTGGTCAAACTGTGTTTATTTCATTACAACTTGCTCTCACTTTGATCTAAAATTATTTTCATATGAATGCTGCACTGAAGTCTGTAGAGGAAAAACTAAACAGACTTCTATTTTCTCTCAGGCTGCCAATATAGTTTATGAAAAGAATAAAATGAGAGACTTGAGAGGCTGCTAGTGAAATGCGTGGATGGGAGAATCTACCTTTAGATGACGAAGCTTGTGTCCACCTCACCAAATACAATGAACTCTCCTAAAACCATTCACTCATTTTTTAAAAAAAAATTCTTCCCTACAGAATTTTAAACACCAGGTCCAGCCAAGGCATTAATGAAACATTTACCTTTCCTAATTGCTGATGCTCTTTAAAAGCAGCAATTAGTTCTTCAGCCCACTGGATTTTCTCCGTGGCAGGGGTGAACAGCTCCTGGACCACGGCGATCTGGTTCGGGTGGATCACCTGCTTACCTACAAGAGAAGAGGAGCACCGGAGCCTCACACCACTGATACACGTTCAGACAAAATGTGCCCACCACAAAAAGATCCGGAATGCGCCCAGGCCATGTGCTAAATCATGAGTTTAGAACTTTTTGTGAAGAGAGAAAAAAAAAAAAGGCAAACCCTGTCATGAGGCAGGCCTTTCCAGAAAAGCACGGAAGAGCAGACACAGCAATGGAAGGCACCGTGTTTCTGAGCTGTGGAAGGGTTTCAGTCAGATTATCTATCCCCCAGTTTTATTTTTATTTTTTTTTTTAATCCCTCAGTTTTAGTTACAGGTGGATAACGAGGCAGCTCAGTGACTGTTAATGGGTGATATCCATAAATGACAGCAATTATCTTGGGTTAAAGGAAAATGAAATTCAGTGAGAATTCTCTCAAATTTGTAAGTCTTCTTTTGCTTATGCTGTAGGCTTATGCCACCTTCCGTGGTTTCTTGTAGGAATGCTATGTCCGTTTTCACAGGGATTATGGAAGCAGGCATTACGGCGATATTAATATCAAATGCTATCTTGTAATAATACATTTGATTTTCTGTCTTTATGTTTTTTTATTTTCTGTCTTTCAAATGTGTCATTTCTAACCCATAATAAAAAACTGAATTTCAGTAAAAAAGTATATTCAGTACAATAAAATAGAAGGCAGATTTGACCAATGTGACCTGTAGATTATTCTAATTTTTAAAATAAAAAATTACAGAAAATTTCTCTAGCCTCAAAATATCCAGATTTCTCCTTTATATTTATAGAATGAAGACTGGTTATTTCCTTATTTATAGCAATTTACATATTCCAGAAGAAATATTAGGTATATAGAAACAGATAAAAAAATTATGATTTGTTTTGAAGTTTAAGGATTTTAAACAAAAACATCATACAAACATAAGAGTCAGGGTTCAATGAAATCATACTGTCATTAGGAAAACAATTTATCAATCAGGGAAGTTGGGAATCCAGTCAGGTAATTAATAAAATGCAACATAATTTAATGTGGTTATAATAATGATGGCATATTTTATTACATGATAAGGTTATAGATATAATTTACCTCTTTAAAAATGAATATATACTTAATAGTCATTCACTCTGTGTATTTGTTGATATATCAATTAGCTTTTCATTTAAAATGGTTTTAACATCTAGTCCATGCTGCATGTTTTATAAAATGCCAACTCCTGTTACTGTCATTATTTTGTCCAATAGGAAAGAACCATGGCTTTAGAAAAATGTTTCAGTATTTCATGAAAAGGAATTTAAGTAGATCAATAAAAGCTATTTGCTTTACAGTGGCATGATTAAAATACCTCCGTGTTGCTACTTCTTTCTTATCTGTTGGCATGCTAATAAAACATCAAAAATCTATATAAATAAAGATTTAAATTCTTTGAAGAATAATTTCTAGAAACATAACATGAATGATGACAAACGAGAACTCTTTTGAAGAGTAGGTATTGAATATATTTAAGTAATCTAATAGTTACAATTTTAATAAAGGCTGTCAGTTCCTGCAGTCATTTCCTACTAACTGTTAGTCTTGAATTTCATAATTTATGTACATAATTTCCACTGATGTGTAAAAAGCCAAGTTTCATGGGAAGCTCCTGAGCCTGGCACTACAGTGTGAGGAGCAGACAGGAGCTCCTGCAAGTATCGTGAAATCTTTGGTGGCTGCCAAGTACTTATATTTTGGGAGTGAGGTTAATTTTGAGACGTGTGAGGCGTCGGAAGGGCACGTGCATTCACGTGCGAGGCTGTCTCTCACCGCCTTCTTCTATACCTCAACAGCTGTATCCCAGACTCAAATGCCATGTGGAAACGAAGCTAATATTTTGTCCAGAAGAGTTATTATTGACAAGTTACTGAGAGGGTGCAAAATTGGACAACATTAAAATTTATGACCATGAAATCCTTTTTACAGTACCACTTGATATATCTTGCTTTAAATCAATACCTGTCAAGTCTTTTAGGTAACTGTATGATGGTGTCATTTTTGTCTTCTACAAAAGACTGTGAAAAAGAAGAAAACCTATAACGCTTCATATTTATAATCTTTCTTCTCAGCGTGTAGTACTAGAGTAACTGTAATGACTAAGTCGGCGGGCAAAGCTTTATTCCTAGATTTAGTTTGGGTGTCTTTTTATTTAAAAAAAAAAAATCCCAAAGTTGATGGCTATTTATACAGCCAATGCATTGATTTAAAATCCATCAACATGGATCATGACACCATGAAGTAATGACTGCAGAAGAGAAACCACTGTGCACGGTTGGTGTAAGACTAACTTTTAAACAACTACGATTTATTAAGAATATATATATATATATATATATATATATATATATAGTACAGCACATCCTTATTGCCCACATTCAGTCTTCCTCACCAGTACTGTCACAGATAACACACTGCTGCCCCTGGGTTCTAGCCCTTTCTACCACCTGCTTCTGACAGATATTTCAGAGTTGAGTCACAGTGCTTATTCCTTCTTCCTTCCCTTCTTTTATTCTTTTTCTTCTTTTCCTCCCTTCTTATGTGAGGTCCAAAGTATGGCAATTACATGCCAAACAGTTAGTACAAATAGACCATGAATGGTCTAAAATACTCAGTAAAAAAAACATTTTAAAATATTGCAAAAAATCTCCTATCTTTTAATTACTTTTTGATTAGTATGTAGAAACATAAATGGTACAACAATGACCTCTGTAAAAATAAATGGCAAAATGGCCTTAGAGCGTGGCCCGCGTCTGTGGCCACATTCGTGTGAGTACATCGAGGGCACTGTGGCCCACCTCTGGTCTCTGTGATTTAATGCTCCCTGTCATGGAGAAATAATCGTGCCAGGCCCATAAGTTTTTCGTGCTGAGTTGGGAACAATCTAGAAATTTAAACCTGATTTAAAATCGCCTGTCTTCTGTGATTGAATTGGGGACCAACTTAATTCAGTCTTCTATCTTAGGGATCCCCTTAAGCTCCCTTTGAAGCTCTGGGGCAAACATGACTCCAGAGGAAGCTGAGGAAACTTGTACCCAGGGCTGGGAATTCAGGCCAGGGCTTTCTCTTTTTTATTGAATTAGTTCTCATTTCGAAACAACATCTGGCTGCCTGGCAGCCAGTGCCACGTGTTTTAGCCCAGCAACGTCCGGGGCTATTAGATAGATTGCGTGGAGTTTTTCTCCAACTTTCCCATTGGAGCCACATGCTAGTCAGGTCCTGGGAAGAGGCAGGACAAGCACAGGCCTGGGAGGAGGTGGAGGGAGGGACACCTTCCTTTCCCAGTCTCTGTTAAATGTAGGAAGCAGTGATAGTTTGGATCACTGAAAACTGTATCTCTAAGGGATCACATTGATTTTTTAATTTTAAAACTTAAGGTCTTCATTTATTTTAGTTCTTTGTTTTAAGCATATAAAAGGCAAACGTCAGCGCTTTAATCCTAACACAACCTTATTGTTGATAATATTGTTTCGTTTTGTTTTTTTCACTTTTGTGGTATTCGGAATGGAACCCAGGGTCATTATGTCACTCAGTGACATCCTCAGCCCTTTTTGTTTTTTAAATTTTGAGGCTCATATTAAGTTGTCCAGGCTGGTTTCGAACTTGTGATCCTCCTGCCTCAGCCTCCCAAGGAGTTGGGAATCACACTTGTGTGCTACTGTGCCTGGCTGTTCTATGGCTTTCTACATCTTTTGATTTTATTTCAGGTTAAAACATCAACCATCAAGGTACCTTTTACATCTGAGGGCACTGTATGAGGTCCTTCTTGCAGTAACCCTAATGAGACACAATTCCCCAAGATCTATAACAAGGATAGCAGGGTGCTTGTTTTCTCTTTATTATTTGGGTATATTTCTAGTATAAATATTCTTAGAACTTTCAGCATGAGGACAGATAAGAATAAAAGAGCATATGGTATTTTTTTCCTGTGGTTGCCGGTTACATGTGTGTTCACATGTGTGTTTATACATAGGAAATTATTGTGGTTTTCAAAAAAAAATAGATTTCTGTTGCAAATGAAAAAAAAAAAATCCCAATTTTCAGTTGCTCCCCAGGCCTACAGGAGCAGGGTGATAGAGCTGCCCTCCTGTGCCGCAGGCTGGGCTGTGAGGGACCTGCTGATCCTAGTGCCAGCCAAGGCCGGTAAGTGTCGCCAGGTCACTTACTGGGAGGCAGGAGAGAAAGTGGCAGCAGGACAAAAAACTAGTTCTGAGTAAAAATCAATCAGAGAAGGAGATCAGAAATTTTCCTTCACAAATAAATGAATATTTGGGCTATTTTAAGAAAATTTCCATTCACGCATGACCCCGAATTTTTATGGCAATTCCCTCGAAAACACTCCTGTAAAAACGGTTTCCTTCAGCTATGGTTCGGCTCTGCCCAAACTGTACTAAAATACTGAAGAGGAGGGAGGAAAAGAGGCAATGAATATAACGAGGAAGTAAAACAAGTGGCTTGCTTTTTGGTTTGCAGAGCCAAAGAGAAAGCTGACAATTGATTTGGCAGGTGGTGGTTGTTCTCGGCCTTTTCGTGTTGTTGGCTGCAGAATAATTATATGTAATCTCTGAGGACATGAGAAACGTACTTGTGGGCAAATTTTCTATTTTTTTCCACAGTGCTTTCTAGTCTAACCACAGCTTCTAAGATATCATCAGAGTCCTACCGGTGAAGCCCATGGCAGCGGCCTCTCTCGACTGTCTACGCAGCCCCTCTTCATCCCGGAAGTCAATGTACACCAGGTCTATGGCTTGTAGGCCAAAGGCCTTGGCCACGACGACAATCTTTTGTCGGGCGTAGAGGATGTCCTGCGTTTCTTTACTACTTGTTGCACCTGAAAATGGGATGTGGACACAAAAAGAGACTTTAACTTTGGAAAACAAACCTAGATAATTCTCATTAAAGCTCAGTTTGCAAAGATATGTATGTTTTCCTAGGAATTGCTCCTCAGCAAAATAGTAATTCTTCAAATAGAAAGGAAGAGGGGGCGCGGGCAGGCAGTGTTAAATCTCATGTGTCTGTTTCCTTTAACACAGCCACCTCTGCAGGCATCAAGGAAAGGCCCCTCCTCCTCTCAGGGGGTGGAATCAGGGTCCCAGGGATTCCTGACTTTTCCCTTCTTGTCACTGCTCGGACGTGTCAACCCCAAGACAGCTCCACAAGAAGTGGCCAGAAAGCTACACAGGAAGGCCGCCTGCCTCTCATGCCGGGCACAGAACGGCGGGTGCTAGGCCAAGCCCATTGTGCTGGGCATGTGACCCTGTCCTGACTGGGGTTTAGAACCAAACATCTGGCTGGGCCACTCGGGGAATGAGAAGGACACTCATTTTGGGAGAGGCACAAAGCGTCAATCTGCCCCCGTAGCCCGCTGAATTGTCAGCTACACGGAAATCTCGTGGAAAGACTGGCATTAAGATAAATTCCTTTCTTCATCCTGAGGTGACTGGGTTGTGTCACTGTTTCTACTTGGACCACGCCTGATGCTCACTGCTCAGAGGCAGGCTCTCCAGATCCCTGGGACGGGGCCCTGTGGCCCTGGTCCTCAATGCATCCAGTTACCTAGAAGCCAAAGCTGCAGGGGCCGAAGAAACTGGTGAAAACCAGCAGTGTCCCTGTTAATATTTAATAAGAATTCTGGAATATATTTTATGATAAATTTGAGATCTGTCTTAAATTATATTTACATACTACAGTTATGGAGAAAATAACTCCCTGGGGCCAATGTAAAAGAGCCTTAAATTTGTTTTAGAATCCTAGGCAGCCCCAGACTGACGTGAAGATAAAATATCTAAGTTATTGCAAGGTTGTTGGTATGATAAATTTATTATGAGCTAGTGATGCCAGATGTACCTAAACATGTCTGAGGTTGCAACAGGCTTTTTATTAATTATTTTATAAATGAACAGAAAGAATAATGCAGTATTCTGAAAGCAGGACAACTACAATGAGCGCTAAATGATGAGGAAGTGGTGTCTATGCCGTTGTCCTGAGCAGATATTTGCATGGTTGGTAAATATACATTGTTATGTAAATGTCCATTTGTGAGCAGCAAAGAAAAATTATACACACACACACAGAGGGAGACATGAGAGAGGAAAGACTTTGACACCTATGCTGGCTCGAAAATCTTCTCCTCCAAAAACAACGGCATCTAGGAAAAGACCCACGTGAGGCCCGATCTTCAGGGTTTCTTCACACACGGCCTGCAAGCAGCAGAGAAGCAGGAGAGAAGGAGTCAGGTTTCCGTGTCATCATTGGGGAGATTCGGCTCCCAGCCTAAAACTGCAGCCCACATTTAACTCTTCCCAAAGCCACTTAACAACATCCAAAATAAGAGCCCTGTAGACACGTGCTTCACTCGGTGGATTATAATAATAGCCGTGCTACACGGTAATATAACCACAACGCTCAAACTGTAAGGCATCCAACTTCTACAGAAACTTCAAGTTAGCTCATTTCGATTGTACTATAAGATATTTATTTTTTCCCAAATTTGTTTTTACTTTAAGAGATTCTTAAACAATAAACATGAAACAACAGGTGAGAAGGAAAGAATTTTAAACTCACACTAATTTGATTATTTGCATTAGGATCAAAAGTAAGTGGTCTCTGAATTCTTTAATAATCTGATACAAAATCTACAACTTCAGAAGGAAAAATAAAAATGCAACAAGTACTCCATGATGGGTTAATAAAGTAACTTTGACATCTCTGAATGAAAGTGAAGATTAATAACATTTGCCATAGATGGAACTGGGAATCTTGAAAGGTGGCGATATAAGCTTCTAATACACATGGGTGGAAAGAAATGAGGGACCAGTAGGGACACTGTTCATTAATTTCAGGTGTTGTAAGGGCCCCTAAGTACATTATGGAATGAAATGGCAAAACAGTGCTTAAAATTAAATCACTGTATGAATCTGGTTGCTTTGAAGATGTGTCGTCGGTTCTGTTCTGAGGGTTCTAGGGTGGGCTGGAGGAATTTGTGGTTATTTGTGTAAACGATCTGATCACGAGGCCAGGCTTGAAACTGCCCCAAACATGTGCACCCGGCCCCTCCTGCACCGTCCCACAGATCTCAGCTTCCTCTCCTGCATCTGTTCACAGATTCTCTCTCTAGCAAGCTCAGGTCAACTATCCTTTTCCTTTGTTTTTAGTGATTTTTTTCTCCTGCCCTCTTGGGGGGAGAAGAGAAAAAAGAGGGCTAGAAACTCTGGAGGGGCTCAAGGATGCTAGGTTGCTGCCACAGGCCAGGGGGAGTGAGAGGCATTTTGGAAAAAAAAAAAAAAAAAAAAAAAAAAAAAACCACAGGGAAAGGGGAAAAATCAGGCCAGTGAAGGGTCTGGCCAGGCCAGGCCAGGCTTCGGGCCCCACAAAATGGTAGAAAATACTTGGCTCGCCAGTTCTCCTGTATATAGATTTAAAAATATTTTTAGTAGACTATCAATTACTTGTGTACATGAATTTAGAAACAATAATCTTAGTTGCTACCGAGGCTGGATAATGACACTGCAAAGAGGTCAGAAAATTTCTCCATGAAAAAGCTGCTGATAGCGAAAGAACAATTCAAAGTTAACTCATAAGGGTAACAAATAAATTTTCCATGTGCATTTTATCTATAGATGTAATCATCCAAAGCATATATTTACACAGTTGTTATTTAATTAAAGTTATTATTAGGGATATGTAAATATTCTGTTTAAATATGTAGGATCAGGAGGCTTTTCTTTTTTACTTAACCAATTTCTTTGTTTCCTAAGATGCTGACAAGCTGGTTTTTGGATGATCATAGATAACAAATGATGCTCAAGGTTGACTTTGCTAAAAATGTCTTTAAAAATACTTTAGACTTAAAAATTGAAAGCAAAGATTTTCTTTTGGTGCTAAAGTACTAACTTATGTACCCAATGCTATGGTTTTCTTACCTTAAAATTGAGCAAACCCATTGCAGTTTCCACAAAAGGGATTAAATTCATTGGCTGTTCGAGTTTTCGGCCTTTTAAGTGGAATGAAAATTTGCCTGCAAACTAAAATCAAAAGTGTCATAGGTGATTAGTGACAAGAAAAAAAAAAAAAAAAGAAGAAAGAAAGAAAGAAAAAGGTATATACAATCCTGGAACTATAGACATAGAAGTAGTAGAGTATTTAAGTCTTTGACCTGAGGAAGTAACATCCTGGTCTCCTTTTCCACACAAAAGAAATTTAAAAAGGAAAAAGAAAATGAAAAGAAAAAAAGGTAATGAAGTTCCCACCAAACTAAATAGCAAATCCCCAAATGTCTACTTCTTTTTTTTTTTTTCACCTAAGGAGCAGTTTGAGGCCTAGGAGTCAGACTGGAAGGAGAGATTCCTGGTTTAAATGCTTGCCATGAAAACATATTTACCAGAGACCCCTGGCCCTCTCTGCATTAAATGCAAATGTAGGCCCTTGAAACAATGCGGTCTCGCTGTACCTGCCGCTCTGGTTTTGTTTCCGCCCAGCACTGACACCAGTAGGACTGTTCCGGCGGCGGCTTTCCGCGTGGAACCTGTATTATGCATGGTAGCACCACTACCCTTTGTTTGGACGGTTTTTCTCCATAATTTTTTAGCTTACCTAGGAAGACCTTAAAAAGGAAGTTTAATTCTTTGAAGACCAAAGCTCGCCAATTTTTTCCATGAGACCAGTTCACAGCTAGCTCGGGCTGTCAGTGGGGTAGCCCAAATTCCAAAATCTATCATCTGGAAACATACAAAAGCTCTCGCTCAGATTCCCCTCACCACCCCCCCTTCACAAGGGGAAAAAAAAAAATCCCACAATCTAAATTGTAAATCTATTATGTCTATCTAGATCTAATAAGATGTGGAGAGATAAAAAAAAGAAACAGGTATGATAAAGATATTTTTGTAAATAAAGTTGAAAACATATCTATATCTATGTATATAGATATATATATCCATTTTAAATTTAAGAAATATTCAGCCATTAATGGATATCAAAGGAAAAGGGAATTTTAATCATCTCTCCATTCAGTCTCAGTTGGGTAAATCATATCTAAGAGATTTGCATAAATATAAACCATCAAAGACTTTTCATCTTCAAAGGGGGTTTCAAGACCCTATAAGCTTTGTACTGTAATCATCACAGGTCACCACCCTGCAGGAATAAGGCTGCTATGGCAACATAAAAAAACTAATGCTTAAGGCTTAGCATAATATTCTGACTAATAGAAAAGAAACTCATTTTAAAAGCTGGCAGCCTATTTAGCAGAAGCGGGATTAGAGGTGTTATTTCCCCTTTTAGCTGCCCCTCCTCGTCCGTGCAATCTCCCCCCCCCCTTTAAAAAAATCTAATCACTGGGATCTTTAAAAAGCTTTTGAGCAATTTGCAGTAACTTTACAATTAGGCTAAAATAAATCGCAGCTTTCAGTAATGAAGAAGGATTCCCATCGCTCCTGCCCTCCCCCACCAGACAGCATCACCTTCTTAGTAACTTTCAAGGCAAGGAACAACTCGACCAAACCACCAGGACCGAGAGAAAGACGCAGTGTCAGGGGACAAAACGAGCGGTATTAGATGCAAAGGGAAATAGGACATAATTTATGTCACAATTATGCGAGAAAATGGGTGGTGAAATATTAGTAGTTTTGTGTTGACTATGTAGATTTTCTTTTTTTCCTTGAAATAAGAGAAAACTTGCAAAAGCTACTCTCCCCCGTTCTTTGTGGTAATTCTCCTAACTACAAAAATTGTAAGGTTTACAACTAGGCAAATCCTTTCAAAGATTCTCCCTGTTCTTGGTGAGTAAAACCTCGAACGTCCTTTGTTTTTAAACCAATAGGGGCATTTAAAAATTAAATATGCCAGCCCCTCCTCTTCCCCCCTCCCGCTCTTTCTTAAAAAATTGCATTAAGTACTAACACAAAAGGTAACTAGTGGAGAAGTTTCAATTAATTTTTTTCAAAAGGAGACGATTAAATGTTTCCGGCCTGGTAAAGTGTTCATTTCAGCGAGGTGGAGGGGACGGGGTGGGGGAGGAGGAGAGGGGGGGAAATTACAAAGAGATTGGGGAGGAGATGAAGGAGCGGGGCTCAGCAATTCTTTCAATTCCAGTGCACACCCAATAGTATGTTGGAAGAATGCACACTGTTCGGGATTTGTGGGAGAATTGTCCCGCGACAAAAGAGGCAGAGTTACGCTTGTTATAGTCCAATAAGCCGTGCCAGTCAAACAAGAACCCACACTAGCGACAAAAGGCGAGCAAGAGATTCTCACACAAAAGGAAACAAGTAAGCCCATCTTTCAGTGGTGCATCAGGCTCTGGGTTTTACGCTTCACATAAATACAAGCGGAGAAGGAAAAAATAAACAGCCCCGAAGACTTTCTGTGAACTAGAAGTCCTGTTTCTATTTGAGCGTGTTCCAGGGCACCCGAGGAGGGTGGAGCTGGAGGCTGGGCGGGGTGTCCCCTCTACGCGCGGATAAGCAGGAACTAAGGAGGAAACCCTTCGGGGCAGCGACTTGCACCCACTCTCATCAACGCAAGATGCGTCGTAGAGTCAGAGCCCTGGAGATGTGCACTCACGGACCCGAGTCTCCCAGCTCTCAGGGAGACCTCGGAGAGAACTCCAGCTTCATTCCTAGGTCCTGCTCCTCCACACAAGTCCTCAAGAAGAGTCTGACACAGAACTGCCTGACAGAGACATAAGGGCATCTATAAGCATGATTTAAATTTTTCTTTTTCTTTTTATTTTATGGCTTTTTTTTTTTTTTTTT